CTACTTTTATAAGAATGCTTTTAATATCATGAAATTGGTCGTTCCAACAAGGAATACGCGCTTCTTGCCGAACTTGACACTTGACTGAAAAACCAATGTTATGCTTTTCCTTTAGAATTTGCTTGCAATCTGAACGTTGGTCCATTCCCTCAGCTTGTGATATGCACGATCAGTTGGTGTTGTTGGAATATTTATTTGTACTTAGTTGTTGACTCAATGTAATCATGTGTAGGAGCGCCAAGTCTGAACTGTCACCCTTGTTTTTAGTACATGTATGCTACGTTATTTTATTTCAGAGTGCTAGAATCTGTAGCGCAAATACCGATGATGTCCTCAGTATACTTAGCGCACCTAACAGTGTCAGTTTGCCCCTTTTCTGCGTGTGTTAGCACATAGAACGTCTGTTACCTCTGGTTGGTTGGTTGGATGGTTGGTTTATTTTAATTCGCACAATAAAAGCTCACTAGGCCCAATGATATAAAGGCGAATGGATCAGCCGAATTTAGAGAAGAGAGGACAGGAACTAGAAAATTACGAAAGAAAAAGTATCTGACAGAGGAGTCAAGCGTGTATCAAGGGACCTCTAAGCGCAATATCGCGCTTCTTCATTTGATTCTAGAAAAGTAAGTTTTTTATACGAACTTAGAAGTTGCGACTTCGGCGGTAAAAGTCATGAAGTTGATTGTTCCAACTGGGAACACACGCTTCTTGCCGAACTAACTTGACACTTGAATGACTCACGAGTCACGACTGCCATCCGGAGCACACGAGGAGCACGTCGCACCTTCCTCTCGGCAAGCCTGCAAGAAAGCACCACTCCCTGCTCAATACAGTGTTTCGGGGAATTCACCCCTCAGCAGTTGAGCTTGAGTAGGCTGAGGAAGATTGTGCCTGAAAAGTACCACTTATAATTATTATACTGCTCTCCAGGCCAAACCATCTCCAAGGATACAAACTTTCACTGTCTATTCAAGCGAGGGTGTATTTATATCAGTGAGATTCCCGACTGGAGGTCTTATGGCACGTTGTGGTGCATACAGTGCATGCAATCATGCAGTAAATACTCACTTCTTCTCGTGTTGTACATGTATGTGACTCGTGTCCTGCAATCTCTTTCATCTTGTTTGTTCGCTCCCTTGCAGGACGAAGCAAGCGGGGCGCTATCGCAGCCCGTTCATCGTGGAGCGGCTCAAGACGCGTGCGCTGCTGCGTGAAACGCTGTCGCAGCAGTCACACACCGCCTGGCAGCTGTTCCTCGGGTGAGAATATCCCTGCGTGTCCTGCACTGTGTACGTACTGAGTGCGTTCGATTATGCACGCGAATCGATTCACGAATCGATTCATGAATCGATTCGCGCTATTCACATCACCCCATGTGAATAGAGTGAATGGATTCCGAATCGATTCCAGGACTCATGACATGAAATCGAACGACTTGAATGGACTTGAATCGATTCATGAATCGATTCAAGTGTGTAATCGAACGCACTCACTGTGTGCATCTGCAGATGTGCGCGGTGAAATCCAACCCAAAATGTGTGTATTCAGAACTCAGATGGTGAGCCAAGGAAAAACTTGTGACATGGAAATTGTGGGCATAAGTAGTGCGATCGAGTCCACCAACTAAGCCAGATTTCGAACAGTCAGACGTGAACGATCTAGCACAAAACTGACAAGGAGTACTGAGACATTCCACGGCATGAAAGGGTGTCTTTAAAAAAATTATTATTATTACGCACAGTCATGTGGCGTTACCCAATGTAAATATGATGTGGGCGATTATAACCAGCCATGGTATTTTGTGCCCTAAACTTGCACGGCCCTTGACCTGGCCCTGGAAACCGGTACGAGTGCAGCTGGACGTACAAATGTGCCAGTAGTAGTACATAATTGATGTAAGGGCCTGGTCAGACTGCGGAAAATTTTGGTTGCCTGACGAAAACAGAACAGCGTCCAGAATTTGAATCGCGATCACACTACACATGTTGGGACAGTGAAAATTCAAACTTCATTTCGAGCGTCAAGTGGTAATCTCCACGAACAACGTCAAATTCCTTCACCTTGGGGATCGCCAACACCTTCAGTGCAATCCTTGCAACCATCCTTATGAGTTTTGTTATTGTCCGTGGCCAATTAGCTCCTCGATATCGAGATGAAAAAATCAGTGATTATCAGCGTCAATGGCGTATCAGCGTCAAATCCTGTTTGGAGCGGAAAAGCGTGGTCCGTTCTTGCTTTTTTTTTTGGAGCGTCAACTCTCGCTTTTGCCGCTCTGGCGGCAAGTTACTATGGAGATTCGGATTATAATCCTAGGATTATTTCGATTTTGCCGCAGTCTGACCAGGCCCTAATCGGAACCCGTGGTCCGGGGCGTCAGTTTTGAACTTTGGGTCGGATTTCAGTGAGCGCAACTGTGCATGTGTGTAGTCATCTACGGTGCTGATGCTCTGTGAAGTGCAATCATGTGAGTCAAGTTAGCGCGCTCCGTGTCAGTGCGTCCCGGGGCTCGGAATGACCGTGATTCCATAGCACTGGGCGTCTACATCCAACACGTGGTGTTGTGTACGCAATTCTACGATAGCAAAATAAGAGTCCTTCGGCTCGGTACAGTGCTCAGTATTCATTAGAATAGAGCTATCTTACACACGACACATGCTGCGTGGTGCTCTGTGTCACCGTGTGCAATGCTATGATAGTGTTTTTTGGAGTCGTGCATCGTTACAGTTAAGAGAAGTTAAGAGATGGGTCGACAAGATCAAAGAAGACCTCAAACCTCTGAATGTGCCGATTCAGGAATGCCTCAACCTCGCCACCAACAAGCAACTCTGGTTAACGATCATTGACAGATGCATGACCCCCGTATGATTTGTTTATGCGGGCAATATGTGACCTGTTCATATCGTTATTATCGTTACAGACTGCACAAACACATCAGCTGAGAGCAACTCTACAAATGTTCCCAGGGCGTCCGTGTCTTACTTTCACATCAGCATGGCTGTAGCACCAGAAAAGGGTTCTATGGTGTAATGGTTAGCACTCTGGACTTTGAATCCAGCGATCCGAGTTCAAATCTCGGTAGAACCTTTTTTTCCTACATTTTGTGCCTTTTTTTTGGCTGGAGAGTAAGTAGCTGGTGAGGGAATTCTGCAGAAATTGACTGACTTACTGCAAGGGCTATGTGCCGTGGACAGTGAGTGACATTTCTCTCCACTCCTCCCACCAAGCCCCCCCCCCCCCCCCCACCACCCCTCCAGTACCCAGTTTTCAGTGACTGTTTTGGTGTGATTCTCATGAACTCTGGAGAACTTCTTCATCTCTGGCCGCTTCTCTGCTCCGTCGGAAGATATTTTAGTGTGGTACGGTCAGCCATCTGAAGTACAATTTACTCATGTGGGAGGGGTGGCTGAGCCGAAATATTTGAAATTTAGAGTCCAGATGAGTGTATTTTATCAAATTACGAGGTACCTGTGGCAAAAAGTGGTATGGTCAATACCGTAGTGACCGTACCGTGCCCGACGCCCCTGTTCTGTCGCTGTCCATCTGTCTTTCCCCTGTATCTGTGTGTGTGTGTTTGTGTGTGTGTGTGTGTTTGTGTGTGTGTGTGTGTGTCTGTGTGTCTGTCTGTTTGTGTGTCTGTCTGTGTGTCTGGCTGTCTGTCTGTCTGCATGTCTGTCCATCGGTCTACATGTTTCTCCTTCCGTATGTATGTATTTCTGCCTGTCTGTTCCTTTGTCCATACATCCATCCACCACCATCCGTCCGTCCGTCCGTCCGTCCGTCCGTCCGTCCGTCCGTCCGTCCGTCCGTCCGTCTGTCCGTCCGTCTGCCCGTCCGTCTCTCTGTATAACTCTCCCTTGTATATGTTCCGAGCAATCTGAGAATTTGCGCAATCTGCAGATTGCGCAGGCAGTTCTGCGCAATCTGAGAAATCCCAGATGGCGCAGACCAGGCACGGTGAAACCGTGTGCCTGAGCTTCTGCGAGACTTCTGGGAGACTTCTGGGAGCACACTCAAGTATGTGTGGTGCAAAATTCCAGTGTGTGGTTCGTGCAATCTGTAGATTTCTCTCAAAACCTGAAGAGCACAGCGAATTCATGTGGGGCGCAGTCTGCGAGTGCAATCTGTGCTGGTGTTGTGTTGTGTTGTGGTGGTGGTGGTTTTGAAGGATTTGTTAATTAATGCGCACTTTTCTTGAAACAGTGTGCCAGCGCATGGATGGCGCGCGACTTTGATGCATGCGTTTGTATCGGCTTGCCGTGGTTGTGGCAAACTGCATCTCTTGCTCCAGGTACACCCTATTATCATGTCATAATGGTGCTGAGGCCTTGTTTGTAGTTGAAAGACTCTTGTTCTAAAGGCTTGGTTTATTTTTTAAACTATATTCAAATCGATTTTAAAACGTGTTGTGCGTTTTGTGTGTGTGTGTGTGTGTGTGCACATGCATGCTTGTGTTTGTTTGCTGTCTGTTGTGTTTTTCAGGAGAAGTGTGCCAGAGATGTTCCGTGCAATATGGACTGGGCAGGATAAGAACACATAGCTTGGTACGCGCACATGCCCAGGCTTGATATGTGCTTGTTTGTGCACGTGTCCATGGTTGCTTGATACGTGCACGTTTTTTGTGCGTGTGTGCATGCATGTATGTGTATGTGTGCATCAGCACACCATCGTTTGCCTGGGTTAGCAACTAGCCACAGCGATGTCTGAGATATTCCTGATTGATAAATTGCCACACGAATTCCACCGCCATGCCCCTAGAGTTGTATTATTACCACTCCGTTCCATCATGAATAATATCTTTCTTGACGAGATAGTTTACACCATTTACTTCATGTAATACCAGTCTCCTCAACAGCTGGAGGAACTGAGTCTGGGGGGAAACACACTTTAGGAATATCAACCATTGCAGTGCAGTCCCCCAGACACACGATTACAAGCTCACCCTGTACACACATGTACACACATGCACACACATGCACACAGCCAAATCGGGGACCGTCAAGGCCGAGAGGGGAGAGAATGGTTTGCCTGTTCGGTGAACGCATGGGCTGTGATCGGCAGTGAAGAAAAGAAATGAAAATTACAGAAGTGTGGGAGAAAGAGAGACAGAGACAGGGATGAAAAAGGAGAGGACGAGAGAAAGGGCGAGAGAGGGGTGGGGGGGGGGGGAGGGGGAGTCAGACTCACACATAGACATACTAGTACATAGAGCAGCTAGCCGTGACCGTACATGGGGGTAAGTGGCTGATGTCACTCTAGGACATGCTACCGTTCAGTCAATGTTTGTAGAGGGATGGAAACAATTGATGCATGGCAGTCCGGGGATAGGGGATGCATAGCAGAAAATCAGGATGGGAGGACAGGCATGTACTAGTAGTAGTACAGTGAGGATAGGGATATAAATACATAACAGACTGAATTCTGTTCGTCAGCACATTGCGATAGAAGAAATACAGTAACACATAATAGAAGTTTGATCCAAAGAACGAGAGAGAGAGAGAGAGAGAGAGAGAGAGAGAGAGAGAGAGAGAGAGAGAGAGAGAGAGAGAGAGAGAGAGAGAGAGAGAGAGAGAGAGAGACAGAAAAGAGAGGGAGAGAGAGAGAGAGAGAGAGAGAGAGAGAGAGAGAGAGAGAGAGAGAGAGAGAGAGACACACACACACACACAGAGAGAGAGAGAGAGAGTGTGAGAGAGAGAGAGAGAGAGAGAGAGTGAGTGAGAGAAAAGAGAGGGAGAACATCATATATTTACATGTACAGCGCAGCCCAGCGGACTGGACCACTGCACAGGCTCTGGAAGGCAGACACAGAGCAATGTGCAGCAATCACGTGACATCGGACACGACCAGCACTAGTAGCAGCATACACACAAGAAATAGGAAAAAAGCGTTTCGCGAATACAGCTGCACTCCGTGTACGTGCACAGCGTAGTGCAGTTAGAGTTTGCATTAGCCAGGCGGTTTAACTAGAGTGTGCAAGTGGCTACTAAAGACAGGACACTAGATATTTCAAGCAAGCCTACAAACAACTGATGGCGTTTCAGGTCGCCGCTTCAACCGAACATGCGGCCGTAGGCGTAACCGTAGCCAGCAGCAGAGGGTGCCTTGGGTTGTCGACGGGCAATGGTACGCCACTCCGGACACACACACACACGTACACACACACACACACACACACACAGACACACACACACACACACGCACACGCACACACACACACACACACGCACGCACGCACGCTCACACACACACACACACACACACGCACACACACACACACACACACAGACACGCACACACACACACACACACACAGACACACACACACACACACACACACACACACGCACACACACAGACTACTGAGAGGAATATTTAAAACAAAGAAAAAAGCAACCGCCATCGAAAACAAGAATGCCAGCTTGCAGCACATTGCACTGCACTGGCTGAGAAAAGCAGGTCAGAATTAGCGACGGTTGGAGGAGAGGGAATACACAGAAACTCGGAGGGTGGCTATGATGTCACATACAACGTAGCACGTTAAGCAGAACTAAAGCCGCGGCTACTGTTGGTCCAGGGTACGGTATATACAATGATCACATGTACTCGTGTTACTTATATCCATGGTGATGCTGGTAGCCATCTTGATGCTGGTATCCATGGTGATGGAGTGGCGTAAACAGGTCACTGGCTCAGTTGGATGGCTCAGTCGAACTGCAGGCAACAACAGAAGTACATGGCACAAGGACAACATTGGACGGATTGGTCCTGCAAAGTCCATGATTGTACAGTGTTTGCTGAATGAGATCTGATCAGTCAGGTCTTGGCCACGCCTCGAGCTGTGCACACCTGGCCTAGACCTGCGCACACTGGGATGGTCAACTGGTGCAGGGTGCAAAACTCGACTCGCACTATCGGATGTCATTGAGCAGCCGGGGCTGCGGAACGCGATCATTGGCCCGGATCCAGTGGTCCCAGTCCACCCATCCCTTGACACCCTGCGCCGTGCAACTCAACTCGGGGCAAGCGGGTACCGATGAAACTGACGGACGGCTCTCAAGCGAGCCCTCAAATTTCATAGACCATAACGAAAGGAGTTGTAAAAAACCACGTGGTACTATTGTATAAGGGGGCATCCGTAAAAACTGATATTTGTTTAGAAACAAAAACTAGTCATTTCTCTTCAACCCCACTCCCCCCCCCCCCCCCCCTCCCTGAGAAACGAACACGTAGAAACGGTTCATAGTATCGATACTTTTTATTTCTATTCTTGGACGTTCCCATACTTACAAACTGTACATTCAATCTGCGGACAGAACTGTTTCGTCCTTTGTGGACTCATCAGCGCAGCACAGAGAAAATGAGGCCGAACCTGGTGGCAATGAAAAATAAATTTCCCAAAGCCAGATTTAAACTAAGCCCGAAAGTACCTTGCCAGAGTACTTTTAAACTGACAAGTCAGTGAGCTCTTCATTGATATTTTTCGAGAAACGAGCAGGCGCTCAACCTCTCCCCCTGAACGACTCGTTTCTAAATAAATAACTATACATGTATTTACGGATGGCCCCTAAAGCAGAAATATTCGTCTGGAATTTCATTTCGTCTTTCCGTCCAAAAAAATCACCGTTCGCGTGAGACTCAGCCAAAGGCCGAGTTTTCCGCATTCGTATGAACGCCACCACCCTCTTGGATCAAGGCGCAGATGCAGCTCCTAAACGGTGGGAGGTGAGTAGATCAGACCCACCACAAAGTGTTCAAAGACCGAAAATCCCATTCACTGCATCCATGTTTCCCTCGTGCCAGGGCACGAGTTCCCAATTAACTGTGGGTCGCAGCACGGCTGGAAAAAATCCTTCCGCTTCCAAGCAGGACTTGAACCTGGTACCCTCTGTTTCTCAATCATGGTCTTAGACCATCCCTCTATGCCTGCCTGCCTGCCAAGGAGTACTAGTATTCGTAGTAAATTCAATTCTGGACGAATGTCGATTTCTCCAGGTTCTCGATATGTTTTATGTCCATGGACTAAATTTTCAACTGCACAATCTCCCTTTCATTGGAGTTGGACGACATTATTCACCGACTAGCTTTTCTGCTTTTACAATACACCCTGACTACAACCACCTGTATAGCCTCACAGAGCAATTACCAGCAGTTCCACACAAACACATAACAAAGTCTGAATTTGAACTATGGGCGGCAGAAGCAGCATCACCACCACCACCATCACAGCAGTCACAACAAAAGCAGCAGCAGCACCACCACCAGCAGTCGCAACAAAAGCAGCAGCAGCACCACAACCAGCAGTAGCAACAAAAGCAGCAGCAGCACCACCACCAGCAGTCGCAACAAAAGCAGCAGTAGCAGCACCACCACCAGCAGTAGCAACAAAAGCAGCAGCAGCACCACCACCACCAGCACTAGCAGCAACAACAACAGCAGCAGCAGCAGCAGAATGGAGCCAGTACTCACCTCAGCAGCACCTTGATGTCACAGACACGCGAGGGACAAACATCACGCATCAGCTTGATCATGTGATCTGTGCACGGTGGACTGTCACGCTTACGCATCCAGTAGGTGAGGATGGCCTTCGCATCACGATGATCAGGCGCTTGCTGACGACGTCTGCGGCATGAGTCTTTTATGACCTGCTCAGCGTTCTCCCAGTCGCCAGTCACTTCCTCCACAACTGCACAGGCCAGGTCATCTAAACAATCAATAGTAACCATGGGAACACCATTTCTTAATGACACCATATGTTATACCCACTCCATATTTGGATAACTCACCTGTATGCAATAGTTTATACACATTTCATAATCCCCATAATTGTACCATTTCCCCCTACCCCTGCATGCAATAATGATACACATTTCATAACCCCCATGTAGCACCGTACACACAGCATAACCTCCATATTTGACGCATTTCCCCGCTGCCTCTGCATGCAATAATTAGTACCATACACATTTGTAGCCCGTTTTCCCTCCTTCTGACCCTGCACATAAACCACCGTACATTTGATCTAATTACATCCCTTTCTAGTTTCTAGTGTACATGGCCGGGCTGTACACATCATATGCGCGCCAACTAATTGGGCGCGCTTATGCATTGCACTGTACAGTACATTTATTATAGTAATTCCTCGTACATATATAACAAGACTTGGAAGAGTCTAATCTTGAGTAGTCGAATCCTTGGTCTAGTTATCGTCAGTTCTAATCTTGTCTCGTCTAGTCCAATCCTTGTCCAACCTCATCGATACCAATAATAAGACATTGCGTCCTAATAACTACTTGGTCCACAGCAACACCATTTCTTCATAACACCATGGCAACAGTATTTCTTCATAACACCATGGCAACTGTATTCCTTCATAACACCATGGCAACACCATCACCATGCAATGGTAGCACTATGGCATTTTTCACACATACAACTATAGAATGAAATCAAAGCAGAGTAAAAAAAAACGAGAAGAAAAACGATAAATCACGATCAGGCAGCAATCAAATGCTCTATACATATGCATACTCACCTCGCTCTTCCTGGCTGAACATTGCGTTCAGTTGACAGTAGAGATTCTCTTGGTCACAGATATCTTCCAACATTCTCCTGCAAACAAGAACCCAATCCAGCAGCCGGAAATTTAGACATGCATTCGGAGCCACGTTTATACTGCATGCCGACAGTCTGAGAATAATCTTGAGGCAGCACGCCAGATTGGCACTGATTGTACTGGCACGGTGCAAGACCAGGTGAAGCGTGAAGAACGACCTGCACTAGGTTGTTAGACTCATTACACGCCGGCGACCAAACAAGGATTGGATAGCACCCGCTCTAGGAAAGATAACCCGGCGAGACGTAGATAAACCTGTGCGGGCCGGACGACCAGGTGACCCGGTGTGGTCGATGCATCCAGCATCGTCAGTCTGCGGAGATGCTCTGAACACTTGTTTGCCTGTTAGCCGGTGTACCTTGATCTAAGACTTGTAGTCACAACTATGTTCAAGGCGGGAAAGGAGGGAGGTGTACAATGAAAAGTGTCACGTTGCACACAAGAGTCACACCGTGCTATGGAAAAAAGTACACAGTTTGTGCGAGACTCTGTTAGACTGAGTTTCTGCATCTGTAGGAACACTGTGACTCTCAAGGATCAAGGCGTGCAACTCCGGACACCATGGGGAAATCAAAAAGAGACCTTGACCTGCATGGAGCGTGTTGTACAGACAGGGGGGGTCCAAGTTTGAAGCTATACGCATGCAATGGTTGCAACTCACCCAGACTCTGTCACCGTTGCCCCTGCTATGAACTGAAGCGCGGACACCTGCGGACGAGACACTCCACTAGCACTCACTGCACCTTGTAACGTCAAAGACAAGTACAAATGCAGGAAACACAAATCCACACTTGCGTCAAACCCTTGCATCAAGACTATTCCTGATCTAGCAAAGACAACATCTAAATCACACAAACCTCTCCCACCTCACCGGCTGCATCACACACTATGGGATATTCTATTACAGTTCAACCACTACAGTTCTGCCGAAACTTACTTACCACCCACCATGTGTATTGGCAACAGCACAAGTATAACTTATGCTCACAATAGCACTTTCAAGTGCAGTAGTCCCCCCCCCCCCCCAACCCCTACTCCAAGCATGATTCATGCACTGAACACCTGCATGCATGAATGCATACACTAAGACATGCTATACTGCAGTAGAAAATGCTTACTGGTCATGGCAGCAGTGCTTTCAGTATCAGACGACACTAGCGGTTGCAGCTCCGCTCGCACATTCACAAAGTTGTAGCCAAGGTCATCAATGACCTCGAGGAACAACTTGAATGTCCTACGACCACCGCCAGAGACCTCTCTGAGAAATTCTTCGTTGTGATCAGTGCGATGACTGCGATCCATCAGGCAGCGTTGAAAACCCTCCATAATCAGCCCGTTCGAGACCGCCGCAAGGCGAGTCTCCCGCGGTGGAAGTCTCTCGACAAACCACTTATGGTGCCTCTTGTAGCGAATATCACACCAAGGATTGTCTGGCAAGCCGAGAAAATAATGACACACAGTAAAGTGAGCATCCAGTTATCACAATGTGCATTATAGAAACGAACATAGGCAAAGCAGAAATTCAGTGAAAGTACCACCAAGACTTCAACAACCGTGGAAATCATCTAAGGGAGCATTTCATAGGTTCGCATTTATTTTGCAAACGTAACGCATTTCGAATAGACTTTACCCCCTACCTCCCCCCTCTATTCGAAAGTCTTATCGCACATTTTCTGTGTTTATCTACATTGTACTGTGCACGTCCGTGTCCCATGCTATGGTATGCTTGTGTACATGTACATGTATAATTATGAATGTTTTGCTTGAGCGGTCGTGAATGGCATGCAGACTCAGTCAGTAGTACCGCATTTACTGAGTACAACTACAATCAATGACATGTACACGCACATAAACATAGTTCCTCCACAACAACTGTACTGCTGTAAACGCTGGCCAGGTACACGGTTTGATCAGGCTGGTGTGACATTTGGCACCTCTGAGTAGCCTGCTTGCATGCAGTGCAAGGGTTAGCTGATCTGCAAACACAGGCAGATCTCCACCTAAACACACTCATTTGCTGCAGAGATCTAGCACTAGTACAGTAGATTGTACAGTTCCAGAAAATGTGCGAACAGTCATTTTTCTATTCGAAAAGGGCGCTACCCCCTCCCCCGTTTCGAAATGCGTTACGCTTAGAAACAAAATGCGAACTTATGAGATGGAGCAAACAGCAAACGAAATGCACACACCTATTGTATGAGCAAATTGTAGGAGAGTCTTCCTTCCATCCTATCCAAGTTATCAACCAGTCATTTGTTTCACTCACCGTCATCATTCATCCCAGCAGCGCCGTCAACAACTAAGCGACACAAGTCATCAACATTGCAGTCCGGGTAGAACGGCTGAAAAAACCCATCAACACACCAAAGAAGAAAAAAAAACGTGCACTTGATTTTCTAAGTGATGAAATTCAACCTCCAGCATACTAGTGCCGGGTATGCACTGGCCCACCTCATTCACACCCCAGCAATGAATGGTAAACGGGCTGAAACTAGGCACCGGCGGATCATGCCGGCATAATTTGGAGGTTGAAAATTTGGAGCATAATGAGGCATCCTTTCGGAGGTAGGAGCATAACTACATGGTTGTAGTTACAATTTCAGTATGTCAGCTACACAATTGTGCACAATGCAACTGATCACTGCTGGTGGTCCGCATGGTAAAGCTATAAAGGGTTCCGGGAGTAGCCCGTTTCCAAAGATGCTGACCACTTTTTTCGCAACTTTCCGTTGTTTTGCGAGAAATCGCAATTTTCTTCATTTTCACAAACTACTTCGCAACTTTTCCGAAAAGGTGTGCAGAGAAGCGCGCTGGATCGAGACCATCGACTGTGCAGGCTATGGTTATTGTTATAATAAGTAAAAAAACGAGGTATAGGTGATGTTCGGTCATGGTGGAAGGAGAGGTGGAGCTACGGGAGAGATGAGCTGATTTTTCGCAGGGTGAGGGTGACATCGGTTGGACGAGTATGACGATTACGAAGACAGTTGAACATGATAATTTTCAAAGGTAACTCAAACTAATTTAGCAATGAAAAATTCTTTTTACAAAAGAAATCAACTAATGAATAGAAGGAGTCATGTTTTCTCTTTCCATGTTGATCTCTAATATGCATGGTGATCTTGGTATGGGGATATTCATGTATTTTGTTGTACTAATGGCCACTTGCAAGTACGAAAAGGCACAATTTTCCGAACTTTGAGGCTCCATAAGTACAACAAAGTGAGTATGTATCCCTGCGTGCCAAAGCATAATATGACCAGTGCTCTGCGAAAACCGACCTTAGGTGCTATTTTGGCGAAATTGAGTTTGTGCTGGATTGTTGACCCAGGACCCTTTCTTCAACTTCTGGTGAAGTTTTAGGTGGATTGCATACATATTCAGTTAGATACAATGACAATTTCTTTGCACTTTTCCTGCAATTTTTGGAGGAAAAATAGCAAAAATCCAGGATTTTATGCTACATTTTGGAACCAATGCAGCAAGAATTCAAGCAGGATGATTGCAACCAAACTTTGCAGAATAAATCTGTATGTCATAATGCTCAAAAGGAAAGGTTTATGATGGCATTGGATCTTCCTGTTGTGGAGATAGACACATTCTATCTCTGTTCTGTGGATGGTGTTGCTCACGAATCTGGTGGAAGAGGTATTTGGCTCTGTTTGAGGATATGCCAGCCGGAGTGATGCGTAGAGGCAGGTGCAAAGTAGTGAAGAAGCTAGGATCAATGCCGGATTAAAGGATATTGATAGTTTTATCTGGTACTGGTAGTTAGAACATCTAGTTATGTCTACATCAGCCGCACACATTGTTTCGTAATCGGTGATATCATGGCAGTCTCTTTTCCAAATCTTGCCAAACGTACTGTATGCAGCTTTGCCACCAGGCTTTGTGAACGCCTGGTGAACAAGCTTCTTCGTAGTGATACTGGGCAAATACATGTAGGTTGGTACTGGCTTGTTGTGTCCATGTGGAGCCGCAGGTTAAGGGAGGCCATGAACTATAGCATGATACTAGCATAGCATAATGCTCTATAAAATGCTTCAGCTCCACAACATCTTCCACAGGCAGTGCATTCCAGAGTTCTGTGTTGGGCTGATTACACTTGCACTGACAGCAGCCTGTAGATTTCAGCACCCAGGGCTTGATCCTGGAGGCACACTCAAAGACTTCCTGACATGCATGTACATGACTTCCACACCAGCCACTGACTCTGTACTTCAGTAGTTCAGAGTAGTATTGTTGAGCCCCATCTATCACATCTCCCAGCATGCTGGACGCGCTGGGTAGCCTCACCACGTCTCCTGAGCACGTCTAGCTTTCCGCCTACACACAAGCAGCGATCTGTCTTGATCAGGACCTGCGCTGTGTGTGCTGTAAGTGCAAGCAAGGTTTCAAGTGTCACACTCTTGAAACAGCACCAGTGCGGAACACCTACAGCGCTTGTCAAACTTGTCACGCGCCTCCTGGATTGTAGACAGTACTTGAACCGATTTTTCTTGGTCTGCACTCTGTATATTGCCGGCATTGAGGGGCTGGGCTGGTGGCAGAACCGACGCCTGATCGAAATTCTCCTCCGCATCACCGTCCAGCTCGATCAGCGTTACGTCCTGCGATTCCACATCCGACTCTCCTCGGCACTGCTGTCATCAGAACTGCGATTGGACCAGGCCAAAAAATGACTATTCATCGTGAAGGAGTTCGGCTAAAACCTCTGGGGAGAAGCCCACAGCAATTTGAGTTAGCGACCGTCTTCTGCTTCGTTCCGCCATGACTCTCACCTTGTAATCTTCAAAAATCGACAGATCGTCACGTTTTTTTCTTTTTTCGTTTTGTTCTTTTTCTCGAAAAAATTACGAAGCATCTAAGGTCGGTTTTCGCAGAGCGTGGGTCATATGAGGATTTCGCGAGCATAATGCGAGCATAATCCGCCGGAGCCTAGCTGAAACCTACTGTTTACCATCCTATTCAGTACTTCAGCAGTACCGTACTTCCCGATTACAAGCCCCCCCCCCCCCCAATTTCAGGTTTAGGCAAAATTGATTCGATATATTATTATAATTGACTTCAGCAGCAAGTCATGCTCGATTGTAAGTCGCACACTCCTTTTTTACAGTTGAATTTTAGTGTAAAAAGGTAATCACATTCGGGAAATACGGTAATTCAGTCTATTTCCGTGAATAGAGTCGGTGCCCGGCGTGTCAGTCGTGAGTCAGTCAAGTGTCAAGTCAGGTTGGCTGGAAATCTTCGAGCTCCAGTGTGGAGAGCAGCCAACTTTCTTATATTCTCTATACATTGAAAGAATGAGCAGGGTGAACGCACACCTTTCTATTGCGATAACAATGTTTACCTTGATCCATCTATCCCACGTTGGCCGGTCGGTATGCGCTTGCCTTAGGCCACAGCGAATTGGTCGGACGTCTTCGCCAATCTCTGCAAAGTGCTGGCATCCGGTGCTCCTGCAGTGCGGCTGGTTATGAAGCTGGCATCGCCTGTCATCGCGGCACAGACACGCAATGCTGGGATGGAGGCGCGGCAGGCGCTGGCCATACAGCTGCTGCAGCTCTGTGGTGGCACTGAGAATGAAGCGAACAACAGACTCGCAGTGATCTATTGTCTTCTCGCTCTTGTCGCTGTCCACTGTGATGCAAATGGCTGTGGAAGAATAGGAGAGTTGAAGCTGAAACTCATTCTGGCACCTCATGGAGACGTTGAGGCCCATGCGCAAATCCTTCGTCCGGTGCGGTTGGTACTTTTGCAAGCATCGCACGGTGATTCGGCCAAAATGCGCTTGAGTGATGCTCCTGTCTGGATCTTCGTCAACCAAGTAGAGCGGCGCTGATTTGGACTCTAGCGCTTGTGACGGCTTACACTGGGCATGGACTGGCACATAATAGACTTTGTACCCCGTACAAAATGGATCATCTTCGCCAGCATCATAGACTACGCCATGAGACGCTAGCAGTGAAAAAAGACTTCGGCGCTGCTCCTGAAATCGCACCAGACCTTCCGTGGCCTTCTCCTGCTGCCATCTGTGAATGGCTAGCGACTCACACAGGATGCCATCCTTTAGCAGCTTGTACTGCTCCTTGAACTCAGCAGCTTGCTTATACGACACCGGTGCTGGCGAAAGGACAGCCTTGGATGCTGACATCAGCCATGGGGTGCTAGCTAGAACCTTTTTTCTTTGGCCAAAATCTGCGGCTGCTACTCCTTCTGCCATGGCTTGTGGCTGAGATTGTGACGTGGGCGCTGCTGCTGCTGCTGCTGCTGGTGATTGTAGTGGTGCTGCTCGTGGTGTGGATGCTGATGATGCTTGTGCTGCTCCAACAGGTGGCATACTAGCTGTAGCCGATGGAAAGTGGCTACCTTCATCATCAAAGACAATGAGATAGCCAAGCGACTGGTTCAAGCTCAAGAGACGAGGCACATTCACGTCAGTATCACCAAATGCATCCTGAGCAATGCTGCATACCTTGTCGTAGCTCATGATGAACGATGACGTCTTTTGTGCAATCGCCTCCAGCACCTCTGGGAATGGCAGCCACGAGATTGGTAACTTCTCTCTGCGACGGGATTGGATGACGCAGGCCAACTGTTCACGCAACTCTGCAACTCCTTGGTCAACTTTTGACCCAGACACAGTGTTGTCAACAAAGATGATCGGATATAGGCTGTCAGTATACTTCTTGCCGAGCATCAGTTGTTGCAGTTGTTTCCTTCGTTTGCGAACATCTTTCGACATACTATCCAGGTGTGTGCCAATGAGGAAAATCGGCGCTGTGCAGTTGTCGGTAAGTGCTTCGCGAGCTGTACATAGCCATGAGTCGATGACATCAAAGTAGGTACAGGCGGGTTGGCTGATGTTGAGCTGATTGTCCTCGCCATCTTCATCAGTCAAGATGTCTGCATACGGTTGATGCAGTTCGATGCTGGCATCGAAGACGACGCAGTACGTGGTGCGTTCGGGTGAAAACACAAGGTCGTGTAACGCGTGGAATGGCATCTGCCCTGCCAAATCCCACACGTCAACAAACAGTGTGTTCTCACCCAAACCAGAAGTCTCATCCAGACGCTTGAAAAACGTGCCCCAAACTGCACCAGCTGCACCAGCTGCTCCAGCTGCCAGACGTTGGAAGGCGTTTGTACCGCTGACATCAGTACCAGAGTCAGCTTCAGCACCGATAATTTTGTCGACGATTGAGGCAGACAGCAGGGCTAGGTGATGCGACGCATTCGTTGACTCCAATTGGTACACTCCTCTTTTGCTCTTATTCAGGGTGAAGGTAAGCTTTTCCATGTCTATGCCAAGTGTACTGGCGGTCTTCGTGAACCTCTTGTCTTGCAGCGACCTCAACACTCCAGTTTTTCCACCGCGACCAGGGCCCATGAGTAGTACTCGCTCGTAGACAATGTCGGCGACGCAGCTTGAGAACACTTCCTTCCTCCTCTGCTCATCCATAGGACTTCTTTCTACATCGCATCACAAAAACAAAAAGTACATCCACTTTCTCAGGCACTTGAGAGAGACTAGCCAGGAACTACATGTACAACAATTAGAGAAGTATTTTTGAAACTGTAGTAAAGGTGGAATCCTGATAATTCGAACCTCAAAATGCCAGGAAAAAACTTCTAATTATCCGGACATTCTAATTATCCAAACATGAACCCACAACACAATATGTATGTCAAAATGCTCTCATGGTCACGCAGAGTTGCGCTATTGACCTTAGACACAGACTCCGCGGATACTGAGCTGACCGGCACAGCCTGCTCATGCAAACTGAACTGACCAGTACAATGTACAGTGAACTTCGAATTACACTTTGCTAACTTCGAATTATCAGCACAAATCCCACACATTTTCTATGCAAGTGGAATCTGTGGGACTTCGAATTAACCGGACATATCCAGTTCGAGGTTCAAATTATCAGAATTTTTTATGTGGGACTCGTATTGATAGAAATCGGTCCTGGAAAACTTCTAATTAAGCGGTATGTTTGAATTAAGCCATATTCGAATTATCAGGATTCCACCTGTATTGAAATGACGAATGTCAATGCGCTCATCAGCAGTCACGATGCAACAGCCGAGTTGTGAATCAAACGTTTTCTTGTGGCATTCATCATGAATCAGTCACCAGAGTAAGGTGCAGCTAAAACAGAATCAGGACATTAACCGTATTTTCCAGGTACCGTATTTTAATAGTGAGTTCCACTGCCTTTATGGCCGATACAGCTTGCTGTCTACAGCATTGGGTATATATATGTAGGACTCAGTATAGAGTCCATGCACTATATGATGTCCAGCACCCTATATAGAGTCCATTGGTCCAAAATCCACTATACAGAGTCCAGGAGTCCACTCAGTTTTGATCAGCTTCATCCTGCCGCGCAATCCCCTATAAGGAGTACACTTTTTCTACAAGTCCCCTATTCACGGTCCAGGAGTCCAGTTTATCCAGTCACGCCGTCCTGTGAGTTGTGCCCAAAAGAGAACAAACACCTACTGTACCTTTTCAGTTTTGCTTGCCTCGTGGCAGCGCATTCCTTTCTTCACTTCAGCCATGGCTGCCAGTTCTGCTGTGCAGTTGCTGACAGTAATCTGTCTCGAGGTAACCAAGGAGGATAAGGAGACGTTCAAAATCAAATCTGGAAAGCGTCTTGTGGTTCTCGGAAGACGTTTCATCAGTGCGCGGGATGAAAGCAGAAATTGCAGAACGAGAAAAGTTCAGCACAGTTCAAATCTGACGAGTCAGGAACACCGACACTCTCTTTCGTTCGACACCACAAGGATCCCTGTTTGGCTGACCATTGCTGCCAGTAAGACGTTTGAACGGTTTCATCAGAGCGAGGGATGAAAGCAGAAAGCGGAGAACGAGAAAAGTTCAGCACAGTTCCAATCTGACGAGTCAGATACACTGACACTCTCTTTCGTTCGACGCCACAAGGATATCCTGTTTGTCTGGACAAGAGCTGCCTGTACCACCGTGTCAAAAGGCTGTCCAACTACATGGCAGGACGATGACCGAGGTAAGGAAGCTTGACTCGTTTCGATTAGTCTGCTGTTCTGTCGTAATATGCTTGAATTTTTTTTCCGTTTTTCAAGGAGCGTATCGCGTTTGTTTGATGTTGCTTGAATGAATGCCCTAAAAGTAATCAACCACTTCGTAATAGTCCTCAAGGACTGCAAGGACTTTGCATCAATCGTATACGATCGTCTAGCTATCATCAATATTTTTTATTTCATGAGAAATGTATTTTTATCCCTATGATAATTATGTGAACTCCACGACACTCTTCCTCTACTAGGCTCTAGTATGATGTCAAATACAATGGGATCCACAAACGCAGTGCCAGTGTACTAGTAGTAGTAGGAGGAGGATTTCTTGTATGCTGATGACAAGAAAAAGCTTCTCAAGCTAATACATGTACTCGTATTCCATGAAGTAACCGTTTTGATGTGACAAACATGACACTGTGTCAGTGAAACTGCCTCGTGACAACAAATCATTGAATCATTGCATTTCCATCTCGGGGAAGACTGACTGACGGCAACGCTGTACAGATTGTTCAAATCATCTCATTTCAATTTAGTTGCAGTGAAGTGAAACACTGTGTACACTACATGTATGGTGGTGTGTCTGTGCGTCTTGAGTGTGCACAAATGATCTTATTCCTCGTACTTCATCATAAGTATTACTAATAGATTATAGTTCCCACCATCACCTGTTCACAGGTCTTTGAGTGGATGGATTTTCATTGAGCATCACATTCGTTGAGAACTTGGTAGTTGTGTGCTCCCATGCATCATTACGGTAATAAGCGTATCCTTGTGCTATCTATTTGTTGCAGGTGTGCTGATCTTCAGAAGCTTGCGGAACTGAGTGCTGCTGAACATTTGCATGGCCATGAGCAATGGTGAAGCTTGCTATTGCAGTCTCAGCATGTGCTAGTATTATGCTGACTACTGCACTATGTTACTCTCTTACACTACTACATGTACATGTATGTAAACGTGCGTGCATCCGCCCACGGCCACGTATGCATTCGTTTCGTATAATTTTTTGTTATCCCTCTTGACTTTACGTGTAAATGGGTGGATGTTTGCATGGCTGTTTGAGTTGCGTGTGTATTGTGTCTCTACTCTTTTCTTGGTGTTTTCTTGGCGTTGTATAAGTTTGTGTGTGTGTGTGTGTGTGTGTGTGTGTGCGCCCGGCGCCCGCACAATAATTTGAAAACAAATAATTAATCCTTGGCTCTCCATTATTATCTTTCGATTCTTGGTTTTTTTCTAGGTATTTTCTTGGCGTTGTGTGGGTGTGTGCATGTGTGTGCGAGCACAATAATTTTGCAACACTACATGATTGAGATAATAATTATTGTAATTTGCAGCGTCTGCGAAGAGACCACTTGATTTGAGGATTGTGTTTGTAGGGTTTTTCATGTAATGAAGTGGCTGCAGTGGCGCCTCAATACTTATTTTTTATCTTGAGAAGTGAATGATGTAAAGGATTAAAGGGAGAGGCCGTTTTCTGGTTAATATTCACTGCTTACAGCAGATCCTATGTCTAATTTCGAACTCTGGATAGGGGATGCCTAATTGGCTGGACTTTATACAGGAAGTGTTGTCCACATAAAGACTCTTTATAGTTGATTTCAAAGTTTGGACTCCGTACAGTTGATTTTGGACCAATGGACACTATATAGGGGTGAAGCCAATTGGCTGGACTCTATACAGGGAGTGATGTTCATCTAAACTTTGAGCTCACAGTTGACTCCAAGTTTGGACTCTGTACAGTGGATTTTGGACCAATGGACTCTATATAGGGGTTGGACATCATATAGGGGCTGGACGCTCTACTGAGTCCAACATATATATATATATACTCAATATATATTCAAGTCTGCTTGAGCTGCTGCTCATGGATAACGCATGGTCTTTTGTTCTACATGTATTGTCGTTCTTGCAACGCATTCTTTTATATCTCTCCCTCTTTGCAACTTCAAGACCTGTTGCTGATAGAATTTCGAATAAAACTCTGACTACAAACTTGAAGTTGCGCATTCCCGCAGCAATAATAGTGTTAAAAAGCACGTGTCTTTGTGCGTAGCCAAGATAATCATGGTGGTCCGGAGTGAGAATGCACAATGCAGGCGCAGGCCAAAGATATCCCTAAATTTGCAGTGGCCTATTTTCTGATTATTTTGCCATTGCCAGCCCAGGCCCGACTTTGTACGTGGGGCGGCCATGGAAGGGGGTCCGGAGCCCCGTGACAACATTTCAAAAATTGAAGCCAATTGCAAGCATTTCCAGGAATTTTGTGCCATTTCAGTGTAACCGCATGAAGGACTTTTTGATTCTGCAACAGACCACGATCGGGGACAAGAATTCTTCATTATTTGCGACGTTTGCGCTGAGCTGCAATCATCGCGCCTTGTTGCAGTGTGCTCCAAAAAAAGGCCAAAAAAGAGGGGCGCCTCAGCCACCCCAGCCGCACCGGCTGGGGTGCCTTGCCAGCCACTGGCTATGTTACTGTGTTGTCCTGTAGTGCGCTAAACGGGTGGAGTACAAAGAGGTAATAATTGCTATTTCTACCGCACGCAACATCGGCAATGCCTGAATCCGCATTCATAAAGATTATAGGCAGCCGCCCAAGGAGTAACAGAGCTTTCCAGGTAAGGTGCAAAAGAAAGTTTAAGAAACCATCCACTACTAAAATGACCAGACAGGAAAGACTGCAGGTGCAAAAGAGCTTTACAAGCACCCCAGCCGCAACAAACTCTGTTAGACAGAACCGAGAAGGGATCAACTTTGCTTGTGCTTTTAAAAGATTTTTTTGATAAAAGGGGGTTTGTCAACTGACAACTGCTCTATTTAGTTGCTATTCCATAGCCAGCAATCGCATGTCATCACGTACATTCAAAATCAACATAATTTTGCGAATCGACCTTTTTTTCAGGATCACTTTTCAACGAGGACGAAGCAAAGTCGGCCGAACGAAGCCTAGAGGAAGAAAATCACCCTCTCCACTTCACCATCACGATACTGACATAGATACAAGACGAAAGAACTAAAAAATCCACAAGAAAACTGTACGGCACTTTGGTCTGAGTTTGGTCTGAGAATTTCTATCACGATCAAAAATGTACGAGGACCACTCAAAAATACGCCACAGACGTACTTTTATCGCTCTCTACTCCTTTTTCAAGGCACAAAAGTCGACTCTCCACTTTCAAACCAGGAACTAGACATACCAGTGGTCCTTTTCAGCTGCTCCACGAGCGCAGGAAATGTTCACCAAGGGGCGCAGAGCAGCATCCATTCCAGAAAAAGAGCTAAAATACGAGTGAGACTGCATGCCTGAGTACATGAGTACATGTATGAGTACATGCAGAAAATAGTCAATTTCAGCGTTTCTGCTCCAAACAGCAAATAGCTTCGACTAGAAACAAAGATTACACCAAAGGATCAAACAACAACCATTTTCTGCCGTTTTTTGCAGATGGCTTCCT